AGCGTAGGTAACTTTTTCTAAATACTGCATTAAGTTTCAAGCTTATTAATCTCAAATATGATTAAAAGATAGTTCATCGGATTATGTCGGTCCGGTCCGGTCGGTCCAGACAAATCAACGGGTCGGTTCGGACCGGACCGTTGTGATTAATGTGTCGGTCCGGGTGGGCCCACCTAGCTGACGGGTCGCAACGGGTCGGGTCGGTCCATGAAAAGTTGGACCGTTGCGACCCCTGATTCACACACAACGAGAACATCAGTTTTCGAGCTTTTCCCAATTTGTAAGAGGATCCCACAGTATAAAAGCTTTTGACCATTAAACAAGGAGACCATCATGTCAGTTCAATATATTTCTGAAGAACGTTTTCGCCCACCACATTGCACCGATCAAAAATTCAATTGCTGCCACAATAAAAATTTTTATTACAACTCCGGGAAAAATTGTCAAATAACTGTGTAATAGTTTATCGAGATCCAACAACCCGAATATGTAGTCAGTTTTTCGCTCGAGTTCCTATTGGTCAGAAAATCGGTCCCTGCCTAAGTCAAAAACTGTAAAGGTAGATTTTTTATGTCAACTCGGAGATAAATTCTGAGGCAACTTTGTAATAGGTTATCGAGGTCCAGCAACCCGAATATGATTTTTATTGAGATCAAGCGTCATTTGATCAAATAATAATGATAAGTTCTACTTTAAAACTTAAGACATGGTGAAATATTTGTTTCAATTTAGCGCAAGGGTCACTTGAACAAATGATAAGGGTGAGTTCGGATTTGAAAGTTACAAGCTGATGAATTTTTTTTTCTGTTTAGATCTAGGCTCAGCTCTACAAATACTAATGGTAAGTTCCATTTTTCTAAGTTACAACCTGAGGAAATATTTTATTTATATTTAGATCCCCTCTCAGATGAAGAAATACTAATGGTGAATTCGATTTTGAAAGTTAAATGCTGATGAATTATTATATTTATATTTAGGTCAAGTGTAAGATGAATAAATACTAATGATGAATTCGATTTTAAAAGTTACCACCTGATAAATCATTTTATTTCTTCTTAGATCGATTCTCGGACGAACCAATATTTAATGATGAGTTCCATTTAGAAAGTTAAAAGCTGATGACTTAATTTTTTTTTTCTTTTTAGATGAAACATCCCACACCGATCACTTCACCCACCGGAATCTGGAGGAATTGGCAGGAAAGATGCCTGAAAGTCCCCGTATTCTGTAGGGGAACACATGGTGTCGGTGGAACATGGAAATAGTATCCCGGTCGCGAACCTTCCTGATTTTTCTAGTGACTTCCGACCAACTTGCGATGCCATTCGGCAAGTTGCGCCGGAAATCATTGAAAACAATTTGCGAAAGTTGGCGGTCGGAATACTGCTTCCATGTTCCAGCGATATCTTGTGTTCTCCTACAGAATACGGCGACTTTCAGACATCTTTCCTGGTGGTTTCTACAAAACCCGGTTCTTTTTTTAGAGAATGGGTGTGTTTTCCAGTGAATAGTGGTGGAAAACTACTTCCATAATGCATTGGTGGTGCAATGGACTCAGCATTTACTTTAACACTAGCTAATATTTTCATGTGGAAATGGGAGAAACAACTTGTTCACCGACTGGAAGTATCCAATGAAATCTACGGCCGGTATTTAACATGGTTCATAAAAGAATATATTTTGACTATTATATCTCATTTTAGATATGTTGACGATATTTTCTTTACGTTGAACGATTCACTCGAATCTATCGACCGAATGTTAGATGAAGCTAATAACTTTCATCCAAACATTTAAATAGTACGACAAATCGGTAGAAGTGTTCCATTTCTTGATGTATTCATTCAGAACAACAGTAACGGAGCATTAAAAACTTCAGTGTATCATAAAGCAGCAGCTGAGCCATATGTCGTACCATTTGGATCAGATCATCCTAGTCATGTTTTCCGAAGCACTGTTGATACTGCTATTATGAGAGCAGTTCATTATTCAACAACCTTATCTCAATTCGAAGAAGAAATACAACATATGAAGCTCATGTTTCTCTATAATGGGTGAGTTTCCTGTATTCATTCATGTTTTTCATTCTTTGCATCTGACGTATAGGTGCCAACCAAGACATATCCATCGGTGACTGACTAGATTATTCAGTAAATATTTATCCAAGTATTTCATTTTGCCTATGCTCAGTAACTCTGATGACTTCGATTATTTACGTCATCAGTTATTGACAACATCAACAGATACAACATACGATACAACAACCAAACGGTCAACTATCTATCAAACTCATGACAAAAACGTGCAAAACCAGCTTCCGCAACTCACAGAGAACAACGAATTCACAACAAGAAAACGTCTTATCATCCATGAAAGGCATGAAAAAAGACGCAGCAATAATCAACGATATATTCATGAATTGTGGAGTCGCACTTTCGATGGTACAGAGATAATCAATACTACTCTAAACATTGGAACTTATTTGAATACTAATTTAAAACAGCAATTGATGACCAGCATGATCAAACATATTCCACATGGGAGAAGCAATCCAGGAAGCAAAATGCAACATGAAACTGATAAGCAACCACAGAATTGTCAAGCAAATCTAACCTGCCAATAATTTTATTTATTGGCAAATTCATGTTGTTATTTATAAATAAATAAAAATCTCTCAATTCAAAAAAAGATGAAATGTAACAATAAATCTTAGAAACAAACCAACCTACTACTAAGGCACACAATATCATCGCCAATTAACTCCTTTCATAATAGCATTGTCACAAATGTGCATATGATTCGATATCTACAACTATTATCATAACATGATCTCATCATTCACATTTCGAATAAACCAGCACATCATGTCAATATAGAAAATGAAACCATTAGCTTCTTACTATCATACAGCTACTTCTTAGAAACAAGCAAGCTCAGGACGCCCTCTGCAAACATGCAGCCAAAAATACTTCCAAAGCAACGATCAGCCATTTCCAACATAATTGATTCTCACATAATTTCGACATCCGAATATGATTCCGATGCCAATGATGTAACTTTACAATTCACTTTAAACTAATAACATAAGGTCCATAGGAATGCAACAAGCATAACTTATTATTCTCATTTTCGAATCACTCCAATACTTCCGAAAAATAATGCCACCTGATGAGTCCCTTAAGCAAGGACGAAACGGGTCGTAGTTTGCTTTGAAAACACGCCCACACGCTCATCTGCTCCACGATTAACAATTGATAATTCTTTGCACGAAATCGAGACACAAATTCCTAGCTTTTGATTTAAATATTATCATGTCAAATCATACCGCTTTGAACAGAATCTATCATTAGATATAGAATTTTTTCGATATATAACAGAATATATATTGATTCTTGTCATTTTTAATTTATTTTAAATAATCATATAAGAATTATTTGCCATCTGAAGAGATCCTTAAGCAAGATCGAAACTGATTATGATAGCTTAATCATATCCACACCCTTTTTGATTTATTCTTGGAACTTCCATAAATAATTCGTCTAATATTAAGGTTAAAGAATAGTTATTTGATTAGATTATATTCACGTCGTTATGTGATTTCTAACCTACCTGATGAAGACTGCCTAAGCAACAGTCGAAACGCATCGTATGGAGCTTGAAATCATCTATTCTAAAACACACCCACACCTTCAAGATCTGAATCTTAGTATGCTTGACACACCTTCGTTGCTGAGATGAAATATCGATATCATGGTAGCGTAACACACCCTCACCCAAAAATTCCATTCTAAACACACCTATTATTGTTTAAAACTGCGATGTCTATTATCTTGAGATATTTCTATTTCTTTTCTAAATATTTGGAGATTCTAGTGATCTTTAATAATTTTTGTTGAAATTTTATTGGAAGTCAATTTATTTTGACTTAATTATTATTGATCGATATGCAGTTAATTAGATTGTGAAATTATCTGATGATGATCAGATTAAGCCCTGATCGAAACGCGTCGTAAGTAGCTTTGAATCTAAAAAATTCCACTCTAAACACACCCAGCCACACCCTCAACGAGTTCAATATCTATTATGCAACCATCATAAAATAAATGAAGAATATATCAGAAATCATGACTAAGAATCCAATAATCAATAAAAATAATAAGGATATAAATGAATATATAAATTATCGGTATGTGTATATTTTCAAAATTATAATTATCCATCGTATTTATTTTTTGTATATATTTAGACAGCCGATGTATTTAACACGATCATCATCGATACTCTATGAAATATTAAATAAAACTTTAAATTATTCATTAAAGAAAAAAGATGAAAAACAATTTATCAATGTACGACTTCAACTATTAGATCAACAATATTGTTTAGAAAATGATCGACAATTATGGTAATCTTATTTAGATATGGGTTTACAACAACATTTATGGCCAGTAAGCTTATTTTATTTTATCTTCAAATCATTCTTTGCGTTCTCTTTTGAATTAATATTAAAGATCAGTTTTATACGATGACAAAGACAAATGATTTCGATTTATGTAAACAATATGTAATGAATTATATAGAAAATAATAAAAAACAATTGAATCATTGTCAATTTGAATTAACAAAACAAGAACAACAATTTCAAACATGTCCAATGATAGAATTATCATTTGAACAAATTGAGCATCGACTTAAAGAATTAGTGAATCGTGAACGAAAATATTTATCAAAAAGAAATAGTGATAAATTGATGAAATTTAAAGGTGATATTTCTGAAAAACAACTATTGACAACGATATCCGCGTCTTCTATTATGAGCAATCAACAAGTAAATCCATTTGATTTTTAGTCGAATACATATGTTTCTTATTGAATAATTGTCTCGTCAGAATGCATATATATATTGATTGATTTCAATACGAGAAAAACAAGCAGAAATTTGGTAAGAACAATCAATGTTAGAAATGCGAATTCGTTGTAATTTTTACCACAAAATTTTAATCATCTGGAAGATTTTATCTCATCTATTGATTATTTACCATTGAATAATAATGCAAGAGCCATTGAAATAAAAAATAAACGTTATACAATTATACAAGAAGCAAAACGTCTATGGTTAAATTATTTCTTAAATAAAAATACAAGAATATGAACAACAATATCAAAATGAATTCATTAAATTGAAATCACTCTTCTCAAATAATAATGATATTATCAATGATACAACTATGTTAAATAAAAGACATTTATAATAAAATCATAATAATCAATTTTTCATACTTTCTTATCCCTAATAACGAAGAGAAATCAAAAACAAGACATTATCTCTTTCTTTTTCTCCATTGATGAGTCATCGGAAAAGAGCCACTTACATACGCGAGGCGCTATATAACGAAGTCTATCTTATAACAAAGAATACCATTTAAACAATTCATTTAACTGTTCTTAAATTCTTCGTTATCATTCAAATATCTTTCTATAAAGGTCATTGTGGTTATTCTTCATACTCACACCTACAAAGTATCGATTGATCTATTTTTAATTGATATATTTCTTTCAAATGTCGATTATGAAAAACATTTCTTTTTATTTTAGTTATAAATTACTTAAAATTTATATTTATGTTTAAATATAAACGATAAAATAAATTGTTATGTTTCGAAATAAATATTAATTATGGCAAGCTTGATTTATTTTAAGCAGAAATTACGAAGAATTTAATTTATCCATAAATTAAATTAAAAGCTATTGCAAATAGACTCCCTTAGTGTTTACTAAAATCCATTGAGTCAGTCTATTAAAGAAAGAAATCTGTTCGTTGTATGAGTTTTGAAAAAATTTTATTTGAATTAAATGAAAATACACTACAAAAAAGTTTAAAATTAAAAAAAAATAAAAAGGTAAGATTAGTATTAAAAAAAAGGAAATATACATTAGTGTCTTTTGTCTGTGTCCATTTGATCACCATATGTCGACTCCACACTATAACGAAAGAAACCATAAACTATCTCCCATTTAGTTTGTACAAAATAACTTACTCTTTTTAATATGCATATTCATATATTTGATTGACACTGTAAAACGAAAAGACATGGAATTATTTAGAAACTACGTCCGTATTCAACATAATTTAGAACTGGTTTGACTCTTTGCTCAAGCATGTAAAACCCAACTGGGTATGTGTGAGACTGGAGCATCCAGTTTTTCTACCAGGTGCTCATAGATATCTGACATTAGACTGAAAATGAAAATGAAAATTGAATGGCAGCCATACAATATAAATTCAATTTTTTTCAATCAAAATAAGGATATTTATCGAGAACAACAATTTTTCTTACAAAACTTGCCCAAAGGTTTTCAGGGTCAAGGAATTTGAATTTCTAATGAGATTTTGGAGCATTTCCAAAAAATCACGACCGAACCACAGTGACTCATGGCAAACAAAACTCAGCAGTCATGTTACCTTTCAGTCAGTCTCTCACAATTCATTTACCGTCACGCCGCTATTCCATTCGTCCTCTAGGAGGCATTACATGTTATCCACGACCAACCTTGCTCAATCGATCTCACCGGTTTGGTTCATTCTTTTTTCAGTAGGTAGCCCCAACAAAATAAGGAAGAGCCTGAAAATTGCAGCTCGAACGGATGCTCCATTCTGGAGATATATGCACTCGAAGTAAGACGGATCGGGTTTTTTGCGCATTGATAATTTTCATTTTCTCAAGAACGACACGAACTGTAACAAAAACGTTTTCACCATCAATAGTATAGCCAATGGGCTATCGTTTGATAGTATTGAAAGTATCTTATGTTGGAAAAACATTTCTCCATACGATCGATCTGACTCAGAAAACAGGACTTCAGTCTATGGGACGAATTAGTCATATCAGTGAGGTGGGTGAATGTAAATATAATCTCATATGAAAGGGAACATCAAATTGGATCGAATGATGTGTTCAAAACGTTCCTATTTTGATTTTCAACAGCGAAAAGTTTTTTTACAACATTATGATATTTTCGAGAAAAACTCACTGGAAAGCAAAACAGTTGTGCTAGTTTTTTATCAATCACTTTTATATATTCAAATATTTGTATATATTCTGATAGTGCGTAAAATTCTCTGCATTTCTATTCAAAAATATCTTCAATAACACATATTGCATGAGAAAAAAGCACAATAGAGATATCCTAGTCCTCAAATTTCTCCAAAACCTAATTTTCTCTCTTTTATTAAATTTTCTAGTTAGGTAAATACAAAAGAGTGTATGCATTCTGGTAGCGCTTGAAATTCTGCATCTTTTGATGTATCACTCAAAAATCACCAAGATGTGGAAGAGTATTTAGTACAGAGGATAATAGTCACGCTCAGTGAGAATCATCTAAATAAGTCTTCGTGTTTAGGCGATAATATCATTATATCTGACTTTGGTAGAGAAACAAAGAGCACTTTCAGAATTAACACGAAAAGCTGCACTAATCATGATACTTTTTATAGCATAATATTTTTTACCGAAAACTCACCCCTAGTAACCTTTAACAGTTTGTTTTTGAAAATTGATCCTTAAGTCCCCTTCAGGTGAATTTTCGGTAAAAAATGGAGCTTTTTATATTGATTCTAAATGTGCTATTTGTTTTTCTACCAAAGAAAGCTATAACGATAAAAACGCCTAGATACAAAGACTTACTTAGATGATTTTCATTGACTGTGATTATAATGCCGCGTCCTAAATACTCTTCAACAATCTGGGTGATTTTTGAATGATACATCAAAAGATGCAGAATTTCAAGCGCTACCAGAATGCATACATGCTTTTGTATTTACCTAACTAGAAAATTTAATAAAAGAGAGAAAATTAGGTTTTGGAGAAATCTGAGGACTAGGGTGTCTTTATTGTGCTTTTTTTCTCATGCAATATGAGTTATTCAAGAGGTTCTTGTATAGAATTGCAGAAAATTTGATACGTTATCATAATACGTACGAATATCTGAATTTATAAAAATAATATATAAAAAATAATGAACACAATATTCTATGCAATTTGATGTTCTCTTTCATATGCGATTATATTTGCATTCAACCACCTCACTGATATGACCAATTCGTCCCATAGACTGGAGTCCTGTTTTCTGAGTCAGATCGATCGTACGGAGAAATGTTTTTCCAACATAAGATACTTTCAATACTATCAAACGATAGCCCATTGACTATACTGTTAATCCTCAAAGAAGATTTGTTACAGTTCGTATCGTTCTTGAGAAAATGAAAATGTTCTGAAAATTATCAATACACAAAAAATTCGACCCCTCTTACTTCGAGTGCATACATCTCCAGAATGGAGCATCTGTTCGAGCTGCAATTTTCAGTTTCTTCCTTATTTTGTTGGGGCTGCCTACTAAAAATATTAACCAAATGGGTGGGACTGATTGAGCAACATTTTGCTGTAATTGGTCGTGGCTTACGTGTAATGGCTGCTAGGGCGTGCAGCGCTAGCGTAGGACAATGAGGTCCGAAGGGGGATAGAGTGTGGAGTAGACTGAAGCGGGATGAATTTATCCTTGGTGAACATTCATCTCTCACCTAGGATCAACATTGACATGCCAATACAGACCGGCATATGTATCCTGGCAACCAATGAGACTTTTCGAAATTCTCGATTTCAATCTTGTTTGAATGGAAGAATCTATATCTTGGAATGTATTCAGGTTTCATAAAATTCAATTTTATATGTTTTCTCATCGACAAGAATCGAACTCCAGAATATCGGAAAATCAATTAGAGATTCAGATATTTCGTCTCCAAAAATCTGTAGTCAAACTTTGTATAAAGTGGTTATTTTCATGAAGTAGCCTTTTTTGATTGTATATAAATCATTTGGAATTATGGCTCTTACTCTTAGTTATGATCTTAATTTTCAATCTAATGTCAAAATGGTGAAGGTGCCGAAAGTTTCTTGTAGATGATGAGGCGCTCAGGATTCTAAACCTACATTTCCCCCTTAGTAAAACCTGTAACATTTTATAAATGATTGAAAAATGTTACAAACATTACAGTTGTAGTATGTTTTTCTTTTACTATATGTGATACCATGGCTTCATTGTGTTAGGTCGTCTATTTTTCTAATCGGACATCTTCTTCAAAACATACCATTGTTAACCCTTAAATATGTCCTTGCCTTAATCTCAAAATATTGTGATCCCATATGTTTATATATACAGTGAAACCTCCCCATACTGGACACCTTTCGGACTTTCCAAAAGTGTCCACTATACAGAGGTGTCCACTTTAGAGAGGGTAAGTCTCTTTTTTTAATATTTCGATGGGACACGGGTTTTTGAATGAGCACAGTACTATGAGTAAGATAATCAAATTTACTACACTTTTCGATCTTTCGTTCATTAATTTACTTTCACAAACAACAAACAACAAAAATAGAAAAATCAGCAATGAGAAAAATAATCTGTAATAGAACTTTATTTAACCGCTTTTGAATCAAGATAAATATCAGTTAATTGCGATTCTAGATCAGATATAAGATTGTGTAACTGAGGTTGTTCGATAGAAGCAAAAAGATGAAGTTTTTTCATAATTTCGAGTGCCTCAAATAAATTTGGTGGTTGTTCTAATAAACCCAGGTCGTGTACGTACGGCGGGAAACGGCCGGTAAGCACAGGAAAGCGCTGGAAAGTGGAAGCAGTATTCCAGTTGGAAGTTACCGGATTTTCTTCCTGTAGATTCCGATCAACTTCCAGATGTAAAACACAGAAAACTGACCGGAAAACACAGNAAAGCTTCTTCTTCTTCTTCTTCGTTATCATCTTGAGTAACTTGGATATAAGTTTTAAGATGTTCAGAATCGTCCCACTCGTTAAATGTTGGAATACAGGAATCAATGTCTACAAAATCGGCAGCTGTTAACTGTGAACCACCAATACGACGATGAACTAATAACGAATGAAGTTTTTGTAAAGGATTATCAGAATTGTTTGATTCTATATCCGTTTCAACAATAATATCCATATTCGCCATAGACGATGAAGGCGTAGAAGAAGAACGAATAAAACCAGCAGCACGAAAACAATTTTTAATTGTATTTTCCGTAACATTATTCTATG